TGCTTCCGCACGTAAAACATCGTCGTACGACGTGTTGCTGCTCAGCAGCTTGAAGCTCAGCTTCCCCTCCATCTTCAGCATAGCTGAGATCCATCGGTTCCGGCCTATTTTTATAGGCAGTGGTACCCAAAAAGTTTGCTCTCACAAATTGAGGATTGTATCCATTCCAACCAAGTCTGGCCGACTTGAAGTTATGCTCAGCATTAAGAGCAATTCTCACAGTCTCTTCAAACGTAGAGGGGTGAACCCGAAAAACCTCGGTTCTGGCAATGCCAGTACGTAGACCTTCCATGGAGATAGTCACATGGACTGCCTCAGGCAGAGGGTCAGACTGCATTGCAGCCATGAGCGTTCGCAGCTCTTGGACATAGTCCGATAATTCATTCTTACCCTGGCGGGTAGAAAGAAAGCGTGAACGCACGCGGTAGGCCTGGTTAGGTGGTGAGAACACCTGTACCAATTGTGACTTGAGCGACTCCCATGTGGGAAATGCTATGTCCACCGACATGCTACACGTCAAGGCCCATTCTCTAGCTCTACCATCGAGCTTCGAGATAGCCAGCGAGACCTGTTGATGGTCAAGCGTGATCAGGCCTGATCTCATGGCCATCTCAATCTCACGGATCCAGAGGATGAGGATCTCACCCTCCTTACCGGAGTAGTTTTTTACTTCCACTCTAAGTGGACGAGGCTTAGCCTCTTCGTCTGGTACAGACACGTAGCGTGTAGGCATAGCCGACGCTATTTGGTCTTGGACCTGCCCTAAAAGGGTCGCTTCATACTGCATGAAGCTTTCAACACGTGCATTAAGCACTTCAGGACCTTGTGAAACAAGGAACTCCACGTACTCTGGACCCAAAGATGCAATCAGCTCATCAAGCGCGACCTTTTGGGCCTCAGATAGTGGAGTGGAGTTTTCCATCCTCACAGAGGATCAGTCTTAAAGACTTAGGCGTAGATTGACTACAAGTGCTACCAAGTGTAGCGGAGCTACACAGCTCCTTAAGTCAGAGGAAGACTTACCGCTCTACGAGCACCTTAGTTCCAAAGAACTAACGACTTTACGAGTCAACAAGCTTTACAGCTTCAGATCCCTGTTCCAGGGGACCTAACGATTCAGTGAATCGACAGCACTCAGTGCTCAAGAGTAGCTACCTCAAGGAGGTGTTGCTAGCTTTTAGTGATCAGTGATCAACGATCAAGACGGCTCGCAAGCCACGTGTCCTTCAGATCAAAATGGGAACTGATTTTATTTTTGTTAACGCTTATAGAATATCTTAATCCTACTCAACGATCTTTCGTACCTAATGGCTGATACTCGTCAGCCCCTACAAACCAATAAGATATTCTATATCACCTTCACAAAGGGGTAACCTCAGGTGTGTAACACCTCTGGTACAAAGTACCATAATTTCGTGCAACCCCGTTAAAATTACTGTCCAACAGCTTACTCAGCGACCATACGACTTTCCAATCGAGTCGGCTCTTACCTTTACTTGAATATTGTACAGCACGTTGCCCTAACCACGAATTCTCTACACACATAACCTTTCACGACCTCGATATCGCCACTTCTCTTGCCTTGCAAATTATTAGAGCCCGTGTTTGTAACGCCATCAGCGACTCAGTTCGCCATAAGAGAGCTACAAATGTCCGATACCACATCAGCGTGGTGTGTTTATTCAGACCTCTTCGCAATGAAGAGTCGATTCGATGGTACCATAGGAGAGCAAGCTCTGGGGCTCGCCCCTTGACACAAATAATTAGTCCAGAAACCGAATCAAGTTCGTTATACCAACGTACCGTTTCCGGGTGATTGGCGGCTAGGGAATGGAATGTGCGTTGTGTACTAAAAACGACAGTGCTGATCGATTGTCGCGTGTTAACGCTGATCGTTTGATGTTGTTGAACGGACATGACGAATGTGAGAAATAGAGACGGGGATGATCCTACTCGGTAATGCCGTAAACAACAAAGTGCGGTCGACGACATAGAATTGATTAATGAAGAGGAGGAAGAACTGAGGGAGCTCTCTTCGTCATCGAGAGAAGAAGATGGCCATGAATCCTACCGTCTTAGTCTATCAAGTACCACGCATGAAAACACTTTACGTTTGCTTTTGCCGGAGCTGCCCCTGAATGTCGGCATTCGCTTGTTAAGCTCTTTGTTCGCCCTTGGTCATTTTGAGTCAATTACGTGCGGGTATTCGTGCGTGTGTGACTCGCACTCCATGTGCGGTCGCAATCAGTGACGTAACCAAAGGGAGACACATGTGATGCATGGTGCCTATCAGAGGGGACAGGCTGTATCGTACTTAGTGCGACGTGTAAGGTAAGCCTAGCGTTCTTGACAGGCAAAAACATCCAATTACAAAGACAGACGGAAAATAAGTTTTGAGAGTTCGCCATTCACCTTGCGCACAGTCACTACTAGCTTCACCCTTCTGGCTCGCCATAGCATGTTACTTGTCACTGGCGTTATAAACATCAAAAACAGAGCCTGAGCACTTGACAACAGAGATCAAATCAATAGTATACGATTCGTACAGCAGAAATTCATCGAAAATGGTAGGACATGCACATTCAAAAGCTGGTCATGAAAGAAGAAATTGGAGTGACTTAACAGAAGCAGACTACAAAAAAGCACCTTGACACTATGGAGTCCCTCGTCGCACGCAAAGGTGCCGAATCGATCACGCTGGAGAGAGAATGTCTCTCTTTTTTCCCCAATGCTTTGAGAAGGCCAGATAATCGAGGAAGCGAGGATCATGTCTCAGTTTGACGGCCGGTCCTTGACCATCCAGTCCCAGTTTCGTGTAGTACTGTTTCGGATCTCCTCCATGCTTGATGAACAGATCGTATCGCTTGCGAGCAATTTCCGTTGCCTTCTCGTTTAGCGCCTTTTTTCTCAGCTGTTCTTCCTTTTTTTCCAGACGCTCTATCGTTTTCATATCGATCGACTTCTCCATGGCCTTCCACTTCCCCCGAATGCTTGATCTCAGTTTCGTTGCCCAGGTAAACATTCGTTCTTCTTCATCTTCAGCGTCGTCGGTCACAGGCTGAACGGTATCGAGCTCCCCGGTCTGGTGTGTGGTTGTGACCTCCGTGTCGTCAGTGAGCGCTTGATTGGTCGAACTCCCATCGTTCTCCGTGCCTCTCACGTGAGCGCTAGTGCTAGTTGTGACGATAAACGCAGCAAACAAGACTTTACCGAATCTAAACATACCGACTTATTGGGAGAAAGAAGCCACTTCAGTTATGGGGCAATCGGACTGCATGCTTCGTGTATTTATTTGTTGTAAGGTGGAAAGAGGGAAGTTGACAAAGCGGTTGTTATACAACGTGTTGTTGAAGCGAAGAGGCGACGTGCTCTATTGCCGTATGGATGGGTTTTACCTTGACCTCTACCCATGGAAATTACACGTTACATTATTTCAAATCGACCGGCTTTTCACCTCTATCGCTTGCACTTGTTGAAGACAATTCGTGGACTCAGCCTTAGTTCCGTGCTGCTTGGCTCTTAGCACCATCGCCACGCACTCTTTTCTATAGCTGGTCGTATTCGATGCATGAGCACAAGGATCTGTGTGCTAGCTCATGCGTGACTGTCTTCCTTCATGAAAGTCTTGTAGTTGCAGAGGGGTGGGTGTCCTCACCTTTTTTACCTACCCGTTCGCTGATCGCATTTGGCTCGAATTGTCGTATGCTTGACTTCGTATGGTTGCTGGCTGAAGTGTAGGATTACTGTCCAACATCTTACTCAGCGGTCATACGACTTCTCAATCGAGTCGGCTCTTACCTTTACTTGAATATTGTACAGCACGTTGCCCTAACCACGAATTCTCTACATACAGAACCTTTCACGACCTCGGTATCGCCACTTCTCTTGCCTCGCCGATTATTAGAGCCCGTGTTTGTAACGCCATGAGCGACTCGGTTCGCCATAAGAGAGCTACAAATGTCCGATACCACATCAGCGTGGTGTGTTTATTCAGACCTCTTCACAATGAAGAGTCGATTCGATGGTACCATAGGAGAGCAAGCTCTGGAGCTCGCCGTTTGACACAAACAATTAGTCCAGAAACCGAATCAAGTTTGTTATACCAACGTACCGTTTCCGGGTGATTGGCGGCTAGGGAATGGAATGTGCGTTGTGCACTAAAAACGACAGTGCTACTCGAGTATTGCGTGTTAACGCTGATCGTTTGATGTTGTTGAACGGACATGACGAATGTGAGAAACAGAGACGGGGATGATCCTACTCGGTAATGCCGTAAACAACAAAGTGCGGTCGACGACATAGAATTGATTAATGAAGAGGAGGAAGAACTGAGGGAGCTCTCTTCGTCATCGAGAGAAGAAGATGGCCATGAATCCTACCGTCTTAGTCTATCAAGTACCACGGATGAAAACACTTCACGTTTGCTTTTGCCGGAGCTGCCCCTGAATGTCGGCATTCGCTTGTTAAGCTCTTTGTTCGCCCTTGGTCATTTTGAATCAATAATGTGCGGGTATTCGTGCGTGTGTGACTCGCACTCCATGTGCGGTCGCAATCAGTGACGTAACCAAAGGGAGACACATGTGATGCATGGTGCCTATCAGAGGGGACAGGCTGTATCGTACTTAGTGCGACGTGTAAGGTAAGCCTAGCGTTCTTGACAGGAAAAAACATCCAATTACAAAGACAGACGGAAAATAAGTTTTGAGAGTTCGCCATTCACCTTGCGCACAGTCACTACTAGCTTCACCCTTCTGGCTCGCCATAGCATGTTACTTGTCACTGGCGTTATAAACATCAAAAACAGAGCCTGAGCACATGACAACAGAGATCAAATCAAAAGTGTACGATTCGTACAGCAGAAATTCATCGAAAATGGTAGGACATGCACATTCAAAAGCTGGTCATGAAAGAAGAAATTGGAGTGACTTAACAGAAGCAGACTACAAAAAACCACCTTGACACTATGGAGTCCCTCGTCGCACGCAAAGGTGCCGAATCGATCACGCTGGAGAGAGAATGTCTCTCTTTTTTCCCCAATGCTTTGAGAAGGCCAGATAATCGAGGAAGCGAGGATCATGTCTCAGTTTGACGGCCGGTCCTTGACCATCCAGTCCCAGTTTCGTGTAGTACTGTTTCGGATCTCCTCCATGCTTGATGAACAGATCGTATCGCTTGCGAGCAATTTCCGTTGCCTTCTCGTTTAGCGCCTTTTTTCTCAGCTGTTCTTCCTTTTTTTCAAGACGCTCTATCGTTTTCATATCGATCGACTTCTCCATGGCCTTCCACTTCCCCCGAATACTTGAGCTCAGTTTCGTTGCTCAGGCAAACATTCGTTCTTCTTCATCTTCAGCGTCGTCGGTCACAGGCTGAACGGTATCGAGCTCCCCGGTCTGGTGTGTAGTCGTGACGTCCGTGTAGTCAGTGAGCGCTGGATTGGTCGAACTCCCATCGATCTCCGTGCCTCTCACGTGATCGCTAGTGCTAGTTGCGAAGATAAACGCAGTAAACAAGACTTTACCAAAGCTAAACATACCGACTTATTGGGAGAAAGAAGCCACTTCAGTTATGGGGCAATCGGACTGCATGCTTCGTGTATTTATTTGTTGTAAGGTGGAAAGAGGGAAGTTGACAAAGCGGTTGTTATACAACGTGTTGTTGAAGCGAAGAGGCGACGTGCTCTATTGCCGTATGGATGGGTTTTACCTTGACCTCTTCCCATGGAAATTACATATTACATTATTTCAAATCGGCCGGCTTTTCACCTCTATCGCTTGCACTTGTTGAAGACAATTCGTGGACTCAGCCTTAGTTCCGTGCTGCTTGGCTCTTAGCACCATCGCCACGCACTCTTCTCTATAGCTGGTCGTATTCGATGCATGAGCACAAGGATCTGTGTGCTAGCTCATGCGTGACTGTCTTCATTCATGAAAGTCTTGTAGTTGCAGAGGGGTTGGTGTCCTCACCTTTTTTACCTACCCGTTCGCTGATCGCATTTGGCTCGAATTGTCGTATGCTTGACTTCGTATGGTTGCTGGCTGAAGTGTAGAATTACTGTAGCGGAGCTACACAGCTCCTTAAGTCAGAGGAAGACTTACCGCTCTACGAGCACCTTAGTTCCAAAGAACTAACGACTTTACGAGTCAACAAGCTTTACAGCTTCAGATCCCTGTTCCAGGGGACCTAACGATTCAGTGAATCGACAGTACTCAGTGCTCAAGAGTAGCTACCTCAAGGAGGTGTTGCTAACTCTTTGTGATCAGTGATCAACGATCAAGACGGCTCGCAAGCCACGTGTCCTTTAGATCAAAATGGGAACTGATTTTATTTTTGTTAACGCTTATAGAATATCTTAATCCTACTCAACGATCTTTCGTACCTAATGGCTGATACTCGTCAGCCCCTACAAACCAATAAGATATTCTATATCACCTTCACAAAGGGGTAACCTCAGGTGTGTAACACCTCTGGTACAAAGTACCATAATTTCGTGCAACCCTGTTACACCCTCCCCCACCAGACTGACGCTTGCCAAAACGTCAATCGAACTTGTGTTCTCAGCGAGAACAGTGCGCGTGCGGTGAACCTCACGGTAACGTACGCTCTAGCACGATGTCCTCACCACCAAACTAGTCAAAGGGTCTGTGTGACTACCTCCGGAATAGAGGAGGAGGTGGACTAGGGTAGCGATACCAGTGTCCGCGGTGATACAGGGACAATGTCCGTCTCACTGATGCCTGTGGCACAACCTTCGAACATCCCAAATCCGTTCGCTGAACGTGGAGATGCGAGCGTGCCACCAGCGCAGCATGCAGCATCTGGGTCTGATGAGACTATCATCGCGAACCCGCTCGATGAGCAACAACAATTGCTTGTCCAAAGAGAATAAAACGTTCAGCGTTATGTACAAATGGCTGCAACCCTTGAACGCCAGCGTGACTATGTGTTCACCCCACCCAGTGTGGAGGAACGTCTACGTCAAGCGGCCGGCCAAACATTGGCAACGTGGGTCATTGGCCATGGGCCTAAGACTCCTGAGGAGGTGGTGAGCTGCCAGGCACTTCGTGAGAGGTACCTGGAGCCGCACCTAACGACTTAAAGTTAATACAAGACACGCCTTGACGTGCAAGCACGTGGTGCACCACTTCCACCGATGAAGGGTATACCCATTCTCTTATTCGCAGGCGAAACAGTGAGCGAAGAAGACGATGCCTTCGTTTACTTGGTGCACTATGTGCGTCGCCTCAGCAACATGTTTGCTTAAAGGGCTACTGCCCATGCGGCTGATGTGCGTCTTGAACGCAAGCTCGGTATGACTTTGCCAAGCTTAAGGCCAAAGGCCAATTGCGCAAGCGCACGCGCTATGCTTCGGCTACTAAGGTAGCCGCGAGTGCTGGTAAGTCTGTGGCCAACAACCAGCCAACCCGCACCACTAGTGGTGGGGAACGGCCTCGGTCTCGAGATGACCATGGCCACGATGCTCAAAAGCGTCCAAAGCATATGGGCAGTCTTGCCGAAGAGGTACCTCAAATTCCCATGAGTTTCAGACTCAGGGTACCCACGCCACTTTACCAGATACTGGTTTTGGCCCTGACGACGACGTCGTTTCAGTAGTCTCTCTCTCGACACAAAGTTGACGACACCCATGCTCATCGAGCAAAGTCGGTGGCGGCCGGTGTACCGGTGGAGGCCCACGAGAAATTGGTTCTCGAAGTGAAGGGTCTTCAAGAGGCCTTCGGTAAGTCTCAGTGCATGCTGGATGCGATGCAAAGCCGCCTTAAGGCGATAGAGCAAGCTCAAACTCGGAGCGAGGCTCAGTTGGACTTTCTGATTCGCCTACAGCAATCCGGGTCAGTGCCCTTGTCGTCGGCGCAAGCGCCTCCAAGTTCACATGGGAAGGATCCCGGTACGGCTTAAGTAAGCCTACGTAGAACACTGTATGTGTGCGCAATTTGCTTGGGACGTTTAGCGTATACTCAATTCCCTTCTTGGCCGTGACCGTAAACGGTCCAATAAAGCGTGGACGCAACTTAGTCTTAAAGAAAGCAGACACTACATTTGTAGGTAGATTTTTAGCATTGAGTAGTACTTGGTCTACGACCTCATAACGTTCAATACAATTTCTGCCTTTGGCATCAGCTTGTTGTTTTTGAGTATCTTGGCTATCAGCCATTGCGTCACGCACATGTCGTAAGACATTTAATCGCGTTGCGAGAAACTCGCCTACCTGTTTTTGAACAGTAGCAGGGCTGATATCAGCAAGCCGATCGGCAACCTCTCCCCCACCAAGCCCTGAATCACGTAGTGATAGCATTAACGAAACGCGAGGGTGAGTGAGACCGTTTATATGTAACGGAGTAAAGCCTGTTGAGGCATGCACAGCGTTATTCAACGCAAACTCAACAACAGGGAGCATTGAGCTCCAACGCCTAGGCGTATCAGCGCAAACACTGCGCAAAATGTCATTGATGACGCGGTTAACACGCTCAGTTTGACTGTAGGTCTGCGTATGATCCGCTGTGGACATGTCCAACCGAGTGCCAAGCACCTTGAAGATAGAATTCCAAAATTTCCCAGTAAAGCGGGGGTCTCTATCAGAGACAATTGCCACCGGCAAGCCATGTTGGCGAAATACACGGTCGATAAACAGCTTTGCTGTACCTTCAGCATCGATGCTATCCGGCTTAGCCGCTAAGTGAGCCATCTTGCTTAATCGGTCAACAAAGGCCACAATACCAGTGTTGCCTTCCAAATCTTTCGGTAGGCCAAACACAAAATCCATGCTAATGGACTCCCAACAACCAGTGGGTTCTGGCAAACTAGCCAGCGGCGCAGCTGCATGTGCTGAGGGTTTGACCCGTTGACACGTTTCGCACGTACGCACATAGGTGCGCACCCACTTATAAAGTTTGGGCCACCAATAGCTTTGGCTCACCGAGCTGTAAGTCTTCTCACGACCGAGATGACCACTTAAAGCAGTATCATGTGCCTCATAGAGGATTCGATACTTTAATTCCTCATCATGAGGTACAGCGATACGAGGCTTATCCCCAATATCCGTGCGATAGCACAACAGGCCATTATCGATGGAATATCGATGTAGCCTCGCACGTTAACGTGCCGACAATTCTATGTCCGAGTCTCTAAACTCATCGCTCCCAAGAGCACGTAGCAAAGCTACACACTGATCATCCTTGGCATATGCCGCACGAATTAAGTCAGGAACTGACGACGACAGAGTCGTAACATAAGCAAGCTCATAGTCAGGTCGACGCGATAGCGCATCAGCCAAAGCATTTTGCTTGCCTGGCTTGTACTTCAACTTGAAGTTGGATTCGGCAAAAAGGGAAAGCCAACGAGCCATTCTCTGTGAGAGATGAGGCGACTGTGTCGCAGTGCGTAATGACGCATGATCTGTATAGATTACAAACGGCTTGGAGCCAAGCAGATGTACTCTGAATTTGACAAGAGCGTACTTCATAGCAAGTAGCTCTTTGTCATGAACTGGATAGTTCTATTCAGCAGCTTTCAGCTGCCGAGACTCGAATGCGATGACGCGTTCGCGTCCGTCGACATCTGTTTGTAACAGAGCACTGCCTATGGCAAAGTCAGATGCGTCACAGACGACACTGAAACGCCGACCAGAATCGGGCAAAGCCAATATTGGCGCATAAAGGAGACTCCCCTTAACTGCTTCAAAAGCATTACGTTCGGTGTTACCCCAACACCCAATCCACATCCTTTTTAAGGAGATTGGACAATGGCCGAGCCATATCTGCGTAATTCGCACTGTACTTATGTAAGTAATTGGCAAGGCCAAGCCACTTACGCAAGTCCTTCTGGTTCGTGGGAACCGGTCAGTCGACTATGGATTTCACCTTAGCGGGATCCGCTCGAAGGCCTCTCTTCCCAATGAAGCACCCTAGGAAGGAAATCTCTTCTGCACCAAAGATGCACTTCGATGCGTTAGCATACAACTTATTTGTTCGCATGCACTCGAGCACAACTCGTAAATGATCAATGTGGTTACCCACATCTGATCGCCCATTCATTGCACGACTATGGACAAATATGTCATCAAAGTACGTTTGTGCATAGCCTCGATGAGGTCTGAATAGTTGCGTCACCAGCCAGTTAAACGTAGCCGGGGCGTTAAATAGCCCTTGTGGCATAACGAGCCACTCCCAGAGCATACTGCTCGGAGTACTCACCGCTGTTAGCGGAATATCGCTTGGTCGCATGAGCAGTTGGTAATAACCATCGACTAAGTCGAGTGCACTGTACAATGTTGACATATTTTTATTAAGTTATATTTAAATTGAATAATAACGGACTTGAACCGCTAACATTTTCGGTGTAAACGAAATACTCTACCATCCTTTCTAGGAATAGGCGTCTGCGCCGGTATAGTGGCTGCATTAATCTTATTATAAGCATGCACAATACGCCACTTGCCATTTGGCTTTTTGACACAAAATGTCGGGGTTGAATGGGGAGATTTACTCTCACGAACCATTCCAGCCGCGTGCTTCGCACGAAAGAATTCGTCAATGACGACACACTGTTCTTTAGGCAAAGTCCACTGCCGTGTTACACAGTATTTAGTTCCAGGAACTAGGTCAATCTCATGACGTACACCTCTATCGGGAGGTAAGGCAGAAGGTGGGTTGTGACATACCACATCTTGAAATTCCTTAACTAAAGGATAGAACGGATCCAAAGGATCTTTAAGGATGGAGGATCCGCTTCGTGCACTAAGTGCCGCCTTTGCATCCTCCAGGACAGACTCATCCATTAACATGAAGAATTCAACGCAGCATCAGGTCTAATGACCGCTAACTCGGATAACTCTCCTGCCTTCAAGGCCCGGCTAAACTCGCCATCAGACATTTCTTCTAGCTCACCAAGAGCGTCCACAGATGTAAGGGTTTCAAGGCAAACACTGCCATCAACCTGACCAGTCACTCCATTAACAAGTGCATATAGTGTATTACTATTATCACTATGTGACTGTGAGGACGCCTGGCGCTTAAAAGTTGCTACCCGACGACTCGATCGTCTCTTCGAGACCGTACACCCCTTAGGGGTCGGGACAACATTGTCCCCTTAGTTACTACCAACCATAGTACGCTCTATACGAGAGCTTTTGTCTTGACCGACATCCGGTGAAGTGTTACATAACTCGAACACTTCACCCAGTGGATTGAAACGTGCCACTCCACGTGTATTATGCGGGTCTAGCCCCAAATTTAACGGCGTCTCGCCAATAAGGTCGTTACCGACTTTAGTTGTGGTGCCCTCACGGCCGCCCACACTATACGGCGTATCTCCAACAACGCCATTACCGGCGTTAAGCTTGGTGCCTTCACGGCCACCCACTTTAAATGGCGTATCGACAACAACGCCATTACCGGCGTTAAGCGTGGTGCCCTCACAGCCGCCCACACTATATGGCGAATCGCCAACAACGCCATTACCGACGTTAAGCGTGGTGCCTTCACGGCCGCCCACACTATATGGCGAATCGCCAACAACGTCATTACCGACGTTCAGTGCGGTGCTCTCACGGCCGACCGCACTCGGTGTAGTTTCACGTGCCACCATACACACATCAAAGGAATCACATCCTTGATCACTAGGCCCTAGGCCAACCATGCTTTTAGCATGCAGTGACTCGTTATCACAACGAGCAACACTCAATGGAGTACGTGCCGTTTCACTAGTTTCAGACGAGCTAGGCTCGAAACTTATGTTTGTAACATTGGAGTTAGATAACTCAGACATTCCAATATCTAGCACATTGACATCTTCTGTTGAAGGCTCGCGCCAATAGCGCTTCTGTTGCCTAGCGAAGGTGGGTTCATGACTCTCCAAAGCTTCGCTAGGAACATTGCGAATAGCGCCTAAGGTCTTAGACCTCCAATCAATCCAGGGCTCATAGCGTTCAAGCCAAGCCATACCTAGGGTGAGATCATATCTCGAGTCCAAATCTAGGACAAGACAGCGCTCAATACTGTCAAAGTCAAAAACTTTTATACCTAAGTTCAATGGAACTTTAGGCACAGTTTCGCGACTTCCGGTCGCTGAACGAACCGTGATAGAATCACCCTCATGCGCTGTAAGCGCCTCAGCATAACGCTGACTTCCCTCAAGGGAACGACGTCGAGCATAATTGCAAGACGCTCCAGAATCGATCAATATCGACTAAGGCTTCTCAAAGCCCTTAAATTTCGCCTCGGCGACCAACAAGCCAGACTTGTATCCACGCACCATACCTGTAGGTATGGTACTCTTTGGGGCTAAGCCCTGCATTCCTTTACCTTCTAAAGGTGTAACAGAACATAGTTCTTCCCCAGTAGGGCGCCCCGCGCATACTGGGTGTCGGCATTTCCCCGTGCCATGCCAGACTTCTGACTCGGGGTCGAGTGTTGGCTCGTAGCCTGGCGTTGCTTTCGCAAAGGGCAACCAGGCCGCAAGTGTTTAGTGCTTCCGCACGCAAAACATCGTCGTACGACGTGTTGCTGCTCAGCAGCTTGAAGCTCAGCTTCCCTCCACCTTCAGCATAGCTGAGATCCATCGGTTCCGGCCTATTATAGGCAGTGGTACCCGAAAAGTTTGCTCTCACAGAGCGAGGATTGTATCCATTCCAACCAAGTCTGGCCGACTTGAAGTTATACTCAGCATTAAGAGCAGTTCTCACAGCCTCTTCAATGTAGAGGGGTGAACCCGAAGAATCTCGGTTCTGGCAATGCCAGTACGTAGACCTTCCATGAAGATAGTCACATGGACCTGTTCAGGCAGAGGGTCAGACTGCATAGCAGCCATGAGCGTTCGCAGCTCTTGGACATAGTCCGATAATTCATTCTTACCCTGGCGGGTAGAAAGAAAGCGTGAACGCACGCGGTAAGACTGGTTAG